CCCCCCCCCCCCCCCCCCTTTCTACACTTTCCGAGCTGGTCCCCCGCAGTTTTCTTTGGCTGCAGAGGATTCTCTACCTGGACTCGGCCCTCGCCGACATGTGCGAGGATCCGGAGACCCCAAAGCACATCCTGAGGCTTGGCGAGGGACTTCGAATCCCTGCGGCTCGAAGCATTGCCTGCAGTTGCCTTCCGGAGGATCGTGGGCCGACATGGGATGGGCTCTTTTCTTCGCCGCTTCCTCGTCTTCGCCCCGCCAGAGATGCTTAGGCAGAGCGTGCCACATTGCTGGACCAAGAATCTCCTGAAGAGGTGAAGAACTTCGCACCTCCCATGTGTCAGGCGTTGGTGCCAGCACAAGTCCACCGCAGTCTTGATGGCATTCGTCGTGCGTGAGACAGCAGCGCGGTGCCAAGGATGTTTCATGGATCAGGCAGCACATCCACGCATAAAAGCTGGGTTTGCGAGTCGTTTTCCTTGCCCTCCATCCAGGCAGTGGACTGCGCGGCTCTCGTCCACAAGCGACGGGAGCAGCTCCCTGCAGCGGTGGCGCGAGCCTGCCTCGAGCCAGGGGCAGACCTCTGGGTGCCCCACGCGGGGAATTTCTGTGGTTCTTGATTTTCGAGTCTGTGAAAGGGAAAAAAGCCATGTCATGCCGTGGTTTTGGAGCTGTTGACGAGGCGATGCGCTTTTGCGCCACTCCCGGTGCCCTGGCTCGCAACTGGCCTGCTCCCCGAAGGAAGCCTGCGGCCTCGCATGTCATCGCTAGAGAAGTGGGTTCTTCAGCCAGTGCCTTTAGTAGCTGAGCGGGGAGAAGCGTGAGCATCGCAAAGGGCCTCAGGTCATGGCTCGCTTTGACATTTCAAGGTATTGACGTTTGGCTCGGTCGATTTCTGAACGACCCTCGCGGAGCCAGCTTTGCACATCGACTCCTTCTGCAGCCGAGATTCATCGCGCCCTGGCACATGTAAAGAGATGGATGGGTTTTGTTGCTCACGCCGCTGAGCGTCACTTCAGATATGCGCATCAGCAACACTTGCTTGCTACATGGCCGGGTTCTCACCCCTCTTGAGAAACTTGGTCCCAGAACCTTTCTACACCCAGACCGGTTCTGATTTTCTTTATGACCGGCGGCATCCGCCTGCGTTGCTGAGGACAAGGTGGAGGACTTCCTGGGCTTCAAGGAAGCCAGGGCATTCGTGATCCGTCTGCTCCGGCAGCCTGGAGTGTACCGATTTGTCACGTACCTCGGATGGCAGATGGCAGCAGTGGTGTTTTTTAGCATCTAGGTCCTAGGTGTTTCCATCAGTTCTTGCCCAGGTGGTTGAACCGAGATCCGAAGATGCAGCAATGGTTCGCACGCATTGCCAAACGTGAGAAGCCCATGCTCTTCATCACCGAAATGCTGCTGGAGCCAGGCAGCGGAAGCGACAGCGAGATCTAGGAATCTGGTTCGGCTAGATGACGTCATCCATGATCATCTTTCGTTGCGGTGCACTCTGTCGCGACATGCGAGCAGTTGTCAGGCGGTGCAGTATCGTGCTGCATGCTGGAAATAATCAAAACAGGGCTCAGCCCGGCATCACTTGGGCCCATTGCAGATGTCCCTCACAGCTCGACAAGCCCAAATGAAACAATGCTCGGCAAGTTCCAGAAACATAGCCACCTCTATTGCCACGTCTCTGGGTATCGAGGGCTCTGCAGCTTCAAGGAGCTTGCGCAAACACTCGCCGCATACGTGAGGCTAAGACAGGAATGCGGACCGCACTCGCGAGAGGCAGCGATAGCGCAGTTTGCAGAGGCCTTGACAAGTTCATCGTGGATCTGCTGCTTCGACGCGGCAATGTGCCTCTGAGCGAGTTGGAGCCGATACGGGAGCAGCCGACGAAAAGTTTCCGAAAGCGCCAAGGACGTGGCCTTGAGAAGTATGTTGGACTACTGGGTGCACACAGAGGGTTCCTTCGCTTCCGTCTTCGGCTCCTTCTCCAAGAAGCCAGGCGCGGGGGGCGGTACTGGGGCCATGTGGGGCCTCGGGCCTCGACAAGCCCTGCATGTGGGCCTGGCATCTCTGCTGTTGCAGGAATCGAGCGAGCTTTGGCACGAGTTGTGATCAGTCCAGGCCAACTTGCAAGCATCTTGAAACCGGCATCGGGACAAAGTCCAGACTTTTGAGCTTGAGGCTTCCTCGATGGCTTCGTGTTCAGGAGCTTCAGTGCTATGCCTGCCATGCCGTCTTTCTGCGCTCAGCGCAGTGCGTGCAGCTTCCGCAATGCGGGAGTCTCGTAACGTACTGTAACCCAACTTAGCCCTCAATCGCCCGACGACTCTGTCGAAGCAGGAAGTTCCTGTGGCAAGAGGGGCTCAGCGACTTAGCCCTGGAAGCCGCAACTTTGGCGCCTGGGCCGTTGAGAGGTCTGTTTTGGAGTTTCGCTGTTTGCAGAGCGAAGGGGGCGAAGAAGTGTGGAAGATTGTGGAAGGCCGGAATGCCACATGAGAGGCCCCAGACCCTGGATCCCACTCAAGAGAGAGCCAAGCCAAAGAAAGCAGGATTTAGGGATCCTCTTGGGCAAAAGGTCCCCGCATCGATCCGTTCAATGCCTGGCTGGAACAAACACAGCGGGTGAAGAGCCTGCTTCCAAGCATGGGAAAGCTCGCGGCGAGGAGCCTAAGCTCGCCAAAAGCGCGGCAGTGAGGGTCAAGTGGCAAAAGCACGGTGGGTACCAGAGCCGGAAGTAGGAAGTCAGCAAAATAAAAAAAGAGTGCTGCAGGGCGATTCTACAGTTGAGCAAACGCAGAGGAATGGAGCCAGTGATGCCCGAGACTTATCGGGACCGCACGGGGCTTGAAATGCGTGGTCCCGGGCAGGGCCTGCTAAGACCACAGGGGGTTGAGCGCCATGGCAGGGCGGCGTCGGGGGGCATACGGGGGTTCAGGGGGCGGTGTCAGCAACGCCTCGCACGGACTCGACTCGCTGATTATTTTTCAGCGATTTGGGGGCTGAGAAGTGGCTGTTCGTCTGGGTTTCTTGCCTGCTTGAGATTCCAGGTCGGTGTTCGGGGCCTGGTGGACAACGTGCTGCCTCTGGCCTTCGCGGTCCTTGTAGCGATGCTGGTCTTTTCTGTGCAAGGCCAGCACCTGCATTCATCGGAAGACCTGACTTTTAAGATTTTTGCAAAAAGGCATGGTATCAGCATGGATATGCTGATATGCAGTCAGATATGATATGCATTCATGCATCCAAGGAGGCATGTGTACCTGAGTTGGTGATTGCTTGATTTTGTGCAAGACTAGGTAGAACACCTCTGATCTTGCCTCGTAATATGCATGAAATGCCTTGTGCAGAGGAGCCAGTCGGAAATCCATGCTTCCCTGTCTGTCGTGTTTTGACGCTTCAAGGCACGCAGGCAGGCTTCCTGGCGCTCTTCGAGGAGGCCTGGTGACTTTGCCGGCTTTTCCAAGGTTGCAGCGGCATGTTGAAACGCCTTGTCAGGAAGGCTTGGGAGACATCGTGCTGCCGTTTATTGCCGCTTGGCTGTGGACTTCGGTCCTGCTTGGAGCCAGCGAGCGAGCGACCGAGGCCGGCCTCTCCGCTGGCAGCCTTAGCCGGGATTTGGCCCTTGCCATGCGGAGCATGATGGAGCCAAGCGCCAGTGAAGCAAAGGCCAAAATCTGAGCGCCCTTCGCCGGGGAGATGGGGCGTTGCCGCACTGTTCTGCGCTCGCAAGGCAGGTGACCGCAGGTGACTGCAGACGGCAGCGAGAGCGGCTCAAGAGGCGACCATACCACAAAGGCTCTTAAGCTGAGCCCGCCATCCCGAAGAACTCACGAGATTCGAGGGCCCTTGAGGGCCAACCGACAGTGGAGCTATGCCGACATGCGGCGAGCGCTTCGGCCGATCAAGATGGCGCGCGGAGTAGGACGCCGCTGGGAATATTCATCTTTGGTATTCTTTGGTTGTAAGGTTCGGATACTAAGCGGATGGGCGCTTCGGTCCGCCTCACCATGACCATCGTGACCGTGATGCACTGACATGGCAGTCTTTCGAGTCTATCATACCTTCGAGATCTACTTGTTTCTGCGACATGCTGCAGGATTTCATTACAGGATGGGCCATGCCCATCGTGCAACGAGGCTTCACAAGGGGCTGCTACTGTTTCAATGTTTCATGATTGCTGCTCTCATGTACGTTTTGTGTGAAGAGGAAGGTTTCTATCGCCGGTACAGACCACCAGGATTAATCATGAATCATGACATCCGGAAGTTAGAGTAACTTCACATGTGTACGCAAGTGTATGGATTTGTTCTGACAAGCAGTGCAATTGCCAGTGAGTTTTCTTATTCTTATTGGTCGTCAGCCGTATGGTTCGAAGTATTGCTGCCGGTGCTGCTGCTGCTGCTACTACTACTACTACTACTACTACTACCTATTATTATGATTATTACTACTACTACTACTGCTGCTCCTGTTATCACATCATTACGCCTATTCATTTTACATTATAGTGTTATTGTTAACGTTGTCATCATTTTGTTGTGACTTCCTCCTCTGATAGAACATTCCACCTGTATGCCTGAAGGACGACATGACCCTGAACTGCTTGGGTGCCCTATAGTTTTTGCCTTTTGTTCTCTAGGTGGTCTTTGTACCCTCAAGCATCCTAATTAAAGCCTTTTTGGGGGGGAGTCAGGGAGTCTTGAAATAGCAAGGAAACGACCTGTCATTCGAGTGCCTTTGACACCGAAGCCCTTAACCCACCCAGAGGGGGGCAGGGGACCTGACGCAGGTTTCAAGGCGTTTACCGACACATTAATGGTGCGGAAGGTCTTCCACGTCAGTGAAACCTAGCCACGTTTTGTAAGGAATGCTATGGAATGAATGGGTCGGCCATATTCCACGTTTTTGAGTCTTTGGGGTTGGCGTTTGGCAAGCAGTGGCGATGCACAGAACTGGGGCTGCTTGCAAGCAAGGACATGCGAGAGATAGTCTACATGGTTTAGTGTCCATCCGATGTGGTTCCATCTTTGCCATGAACCCGTTTCTAGAGACCAAGTAGGTAAACATATATACACATACATGCATAATGTATGTACATACAGTATGCATGCATGCATATATACAAACAAATAAATAGATAGATAAGTACATATTTATATATACATAGAGAGAGAGAGAGCTGTTTATGCACATACGTATTCACACATTTGAGCATGTACCTACATACGTACTTATGTATGTATGTATGTATGTATGTATGTATGTATGTATGTATGTATGTATGTATGCGTATGTGGATGTGTATCTGTATGTGTCTGTGTATGTATACATACTATATATGCCGTCTCTCTCTCTCTGTGGAGAGGGGTAAGGCATTTTCTTAAAGAATCTCCGCTCATGCGCCTGGAGGCTACGGCGGGAAGGGCTACCAGAACGGCAAGAGCTATGACAATGGGAGGGGCTACCAAAGCTCTGGCTGGAGCAATCCCGGCAAGGGCTACGACTACCCAGTCGAAGCCAAGGCACACTTATTTAAAGGTAGGCTTCGCGGTTATACCAGCGTTTATTACTTGTTTAAGCCTGAATCAACCCTATTCTAATTGTAAAGGTCTGTTCAGTTGTTTTCTCAGGGGTTTTACGTCCGTGTTGCATGTTGCCCTCACCCTGCACCCCCAAGCCCTAACCCGAGTTTGACGATTTTCATTTCATGGCTGAAGGAGAGGTTTGGGTCTACCGGCCTTTCGTCAGGGCTATACACTGTCGAAGTCAGGTAGGAACTTTTTTGAGGAATGCTTCAGGCCGTTTCTGTAATGCAGTAAGCATGGTGGACCTTCTTGTTATGTAGGTTTCCGGGTTTAGGGGTTAAGGGGTTGGGGGATGTAGTCTCCACTGAAGGAAGTGCATCCAGAGGTCTCGCACTGTTTGTAATCAACATGTTCTGGCTTTTTCTGCCAGTGCCAGCACGAAGATACTCATCAAGGTTCCTTGTATGCTCGTGGTAGTACTGAAAAACATGTGGAGTCAAGGGTTGAGGGCTCGGCTCAACACCGTCTGCGGACACTTTTTGTCATATTTCCTTTTTGTACTTTCTGATATGGTCGAATCATGTAGGATCCATAGCTCTGTGACTTGTGTGTCAGGCTGGTGATGACTGACACCTGGTTCAGTATCGAATCCGTTTTGTTTGCCCTGCAGACCTAAATTCTGAGTTATGTTCAATCCCCGAGCTTGTGCTGTCAACTGCCGTTCCGGAAGGGCGGCTACGGCAAAGACAAGGGCAAAGAGAAGGGAAAGGACATGCCCAAGGGCAAGGATGCCGGAAAAGGCCGCCCTTGGGCCGTTTAACGGTTTAGGGTTTAGGGTTTACTTAATACCCAACCTTTAAGCTTCTTGCTTTCATGGTAACTTCGTAGTAATCTGAAAGGTTAACCTTTTATTTTCCTGGCGATGATTGGCGTAGTAAGTTTAGGGTTCCCAGACCTTCAAGATGAAAACGGCATAAGGTTCATACACCTAGGCTTTAGGGTTTAGGTTTTAGGGTTTAGGGTTTAGGGTAGAGATTCCTAGAATAAGGGTATGGGGCCCGTACTTTTCGGGTCCATTTCGTCCTTAAGGGATCGTAATCCCTAAGCTGACTTCTTGTGCGGTTTAGGGGTTTAGGGTTTAGGGTTTAGGGTTTAGGGTGTGCAACTAGATCTTATAGTCAGAGCCACAGAAAGATAGAATGACAGCCCCAGATCCAATACAGTCAGCGCTGGGGAAGTATGAAAATTCCGACAGCACCAGCCCACTTGTCCTGCAGCCTGCACCCTAAACCCTAAACCGTGTCATGTCTTCCGAAGATTGCTTCATCTCCTGATTCGTGCCCTAGCGTGTCGACCTCGAGAGCCAACCTGGGAATCCCAACACCGACCGTTTTAAGGGCTCTATCGTCGAATGAAGGTTTTTCTAGGTTTTAGGGTTTAGGGTTTAGGTTTTAGGGTTTAGTGCTTAGGATTTAGGCTTTTGGGTTTAGGGTTTAGGATTTAGGATTTAGGGTTTAGGTTTTGTAGGGTTTAGGGTTTAGTGGTCATAACCTGCTATTTCCTGGGGCTTGGGGTCGCGGGAAGTATCAAGGAGACCGAAGGCTGGGACGGAGGTAGGTGCGGTATTCCCTAATTGTTGAGGTTCCTCCTGGAAGGGATCTGTGATGCTGCCTACCAACCCTAAGCCTAAACTCTAAGGCCTAAACCCTAAACCCTCCCTAAAACCTGAACCGTGGACCTTCATCCTACCTTTTGAGGCCCCTCTGATGAACACTATCCGAAGTCCCTCATTTTGGCAAACTGAAACTCGTTGCTTAGCGGGTCGCGGGAAACTGGTCTCCAGGGAACATTGGCCATAGGATTTAGGGTTTAGGGCTTTAGAGTTTAGGGTTTTAGAGTTTAGGGTTGAGGGGTTTAGGGGTTTAGGGTTTAGGGTTAGGGGTTAGGGATTATTGTGGAATAGATTTCTCTCCTGGCGGTTCTGTTCAGGGATTAGCGTGAGTTCAGGCACGACGAGGCTTCTACAGAGTACCTTACTTACGCATCGATTCCCCAACTCATTACCTACTCAGCCGAGTTCTCAGACTTCAGAAACTGGACCTTAAGCATGTAGCCTGACTAAAGCCGTAAAGCTCTTAACCGTAAAACCCCACACAACCTAAAATGCAAGCACCAGGCAGGTTTTCTCGCGGCTCAGCGTTCGGCTGCCCTTGCACAAAACAAATGTGGGAGGGTTGTACATTTAGGTTAGGATGTGGTTTTGGCTTCGGAGCTTTCTTACGGTCGACGGTTGTGGGCGATTACCTGTTCAACCCACAATCTAATTTGAAACGTTCTTATCAGCCCTAAACCTTGAACCGCCTATCGCAGGCAAAGGGGATGCCATGGACGGCAAGGGGAAAGATGGAAAAGGCGAGCCTTTAAATTCTGCTTTTGTGATTATGATTTAGGGCTTTTAGGGTTGGAGGTTTAGGGTTTAAGTAGTACCCTTTTCCCCTTTTTCTTGTTTGGGTTCCCCTAATAAATCCACAGAGTAGGAAAAAAAAGGGTGCCCTCATTATCTAGGGGCTACTGGGCAACCTAGGATTATTATTTCGGGGTTTCAGGCCTGAAGCGATTGCCTTGCCAATCCTGTGGATCAGTAATGTAGGTGACTGAATGAAACCCTAAACCCTAAACCCATAAGAATTCTATCAGGGTGCTCTCGGGGCTTAGTAGAGAGCCTCTGACACTTAAAACAGGGTTTGGGGTGAATCCCTAAACCCTCTGTCGCAAGCGGTTTTGTGAATTTTCCCTCAGACCGATGCGCTCGAACCCGTACAGCCACGATCCCTAACACAGTTTAGGGCTTAGGGTTGAGGCTGAATCTTCAACCCTAAAGCCCATAAACCCTGAAGCCCTATACCGCGAAAAAGCCTTAACCCTTCAGTCTAAACATGGCTACAACACCCTCCCGTTAACAAAAAGCAATGCCTCCTACTGCTACTGCCACTGCTGCTCATGCTTTTGCTGCTACTTAATCTCATTCTACTACTGCACAACACAACCACCACCACGACGACGACTGCAAATGTACTTCTAGTTCAAAGAAAGTTAGCAATAGCAAAATAAGAATGAATAGTATCGATACTAATGTTATGCAAAACAGAGAAGAAACCAAATAGCGCACAACAACTATGTTGATATGGTAATCATAATAGTGATCATCGTCGTAGTCATTTTATGGCCAACATGATCATTAGTAGTATGTTTCAGTCTTATTGTTGGATCATTACTGTCATTTCTATGTGTTAATGTAAAGCCATTACCATTATTTTTGATACGAGTCTTCCGGTATTGAGTGCAAATACAACAACACATAGCGGGTCCCAACACCCGCGGCTCCAGGAAAGGGTGAACCCATAGGCCCCCAGTATGGACCCTTAAGCCTGGGATCCTTCTATACCTGCTATATACCCCATATGTACCCTTAAGGGTCCCTAGAAAGGCCTAAGGGTCCATATTAGGGGCCCATACTTAAAACCTTTGATCCAGGAAAGGGTGACTTCAAAGGCGACGGCAAAGGAAAGTCGGATGGCAAGGGCCACCAAGGCAAGGCTAAACCCTAAACCCTAAACCCTAAACCCTAAACCCTAAACTCCTAACCCCTAAACCCTAAACTCCTAAACCCCAAACCCTAAAGGGCTAGGGGTCAAAGGCTTCCCTCAGGGGCTCCTTTTAAATGCCTTTTTCAGGGTTTCTTCAAGGGGTGTAGGCTTTGTGTTCCACAGCGCAGGCTTTAGGATATGAGTGTCCTTCTTCATTGGTTTGCAAGAGGTATAGTTAGGCCGGCCTTCGTGTTGTAGGCTGGAGGGCCTAATATAGAGGCCTAAAGAAATACCTATACTATTTTGGGGGCTCCTTATAAAAAAATAGTATACTGGGCCCCCAAACCCTATTCTAATTCTTAAGGCCCCTACATTACCGCCCAAATTCAAACGCCACGTCCCATTTTTTCCTGTAACATCCCATGCTGGGTTGTCAGGAGGATTTAGGATATGGGATTTGAGGCTGCTGAGTGTTTTGGATTTGCGGGTGCAACAAGAGGTATGAATGCTGTGCAGATTAGCTTCAGGATTTTTGTTAGCCCTAACCTCTAAACCCTAAACCCCTAAACCCCTAAACCCTAAACCCCTAAACCCCTAATTCGTTAAACCCTAGTCCGTTTAACCTCATGTCAGGGCTGTGGGATTTCAGGGTTCAAGCGGATCGACTGGGAGAGCTACGAGACCTTCTTACACAGCCCAAAGATTCTCATGACGACAGTACTGCAGTGAGGTCCCAAAATAAGGGAATCTCTAAACCCTAAATCCTACACCCTAAGCCCTATAAACCCTAAACGAAAGCTGCCGCGGTAGTCTCCATTGTAGTAGTTTTTTAGGCTTTGGGGTTTAGGGTTTCTTTTGGATACCATCTAGGAACCTAAATATAGGAATAGGATCCTAGATAGGCTAACCCCACAAAAAGGAGCTACCATGGAGACTACAGTGACTACAGGTGAGCCTCCACCGCAAGCCCCAAACCTGCAAAAGCAAAGCAGTTTCAGAACCTTAAGCCGTTAAACCCTAACCCGCAAACCCTAAAAGGTAAACTTAAGCAGTCTCAGAACAGTTACGAGTATGAGCCTGCCTCAGGCTAAACCTCAGGAAACCTGTGCAAAGATCACCAACCCAAAACTGTGGCCTCTTGGCCCATAATACAGGGGCCTAAAGAATTGCCAGTACTATGCTGGGGTTCCTTGTGGTAACTGTAGTATAACATACAAAAACCCAAAATGTAATTCAGAAGGCCCCTGTCTCAGCCCTAAAGCCTATAAACTTTAGGAGCATTGTGTGTGTGTGTGTCTCCTTGTGGGTTTTTAGAGGTTTACAAGCCCACAGGGTCCGATTATACCCAAATAGGAAGGTTTTTGGTCCCCAAACCTAGGGTTTAGGGTTTAGGCCATACTCTGAATTGGCTCTAGACCATCTTTGTTGTTCCACATTGATGGCTTGGGAAACGGGTCGGAAACACTTCGTTCAGGTGTACTCCGAGCAGCGAGCATGATTGATGGGCGTACTTTTTTGCGCAGTACAGGCAGTACATGGCCAAGAACCGCAATGACGGCTGGACCTCTTCATGGTTTGCCGGGTTTGCCACCGTCGCAACAAACGGCAGAGAAGTTGAACACCAAGCTGAAGAGGGACTTCGAGTCTTTGTCAAACCGCACTCACACGGAGGTGTGTGATGCCTTGGCGCAAATCTTGTCCACTTGGAGCTCGCTACTTCTGCCTGGTGAAGAGTTACACGATGAGCCAGCCTGTTCGCTCATGGCACCAACCTTAAGGACGAAATGACCCTTAAAAGTAGGGGCCCTATACCCTTGTACTATGAAGCCCTATATGGTACATGAACCTTAAACCCTTTTAGGGCTCATTTCGTCTTTAAGGAAAGTGGAACCTGTCGACGACCGAACCGAAGTGCCCGGACGGATGGATGCGGTTTATGGTGCTTTACAGGCCTGGCCGCATGTGATGCCCACGCCCCACAATTCCGTTGCTGCTGAAGTACTTGAAACCCTACCATTTGGGTACTTGGGCCCTAACCCTAACCCTAAGGGTCCAAGTAGTCCTTATTTGTGGTTGTAGGTACCCAAAAAAGGCCCCAAAGTCCCCAAATAATGGGTACGTGGACCCTTTAGGGAAGAGCAACCCCGAAAACCCTAAACCCTAAACCCTAAACCCTAAACCCAAAACCCTGACTCCCCCAAACCCCTAAACCCCAGACCCCTAAACCCTAAACCCCTAAGCCCTAAACCCTAAACCCCTATACCCTAAGCCTCTAAACCCTTACCCAAAGGGTCCAAGTAACTAATAATCATATACTCTCCCAAACATTAACAAGGGCTCGGCAAGACAAGTAAGATA